TAGAAAACTCAGCAGAGATTGTTGTTCTTTATAATTGGAAATTGCAAGCTTCAAGTTCAAGAAAAGATGCTCAAAATCCAGGTTTTATTGTTCTGTGTTCATTAGTTTTATTGTTATTGTTTGTGTTGTGTTTATTATAAAACTTAAAAAATGTTTCCTAAGAAACAACTTTCTGGAAATCTCAAAAGACAAAGAAAGAAAAAGAAAGAAGAAATTGCTCAAAGTCTAAGAGGGTCATTGAATAAATATTTTGCTAAAAAAACAATGCTTCACTTGAAAATTTACTCGATGAATTTGAACAACCAATTCAGTTGGAAGAAATAGCAGAAAATGAGAATGATGTGAATGAAGAAGTTGGTGATCTAGATGAAAATGAAAATATTGATGAACCTTGCCATGATGAACATACAGTCAATGAACCTGAATGTCCAGAAACAAGATTATTATTATTATTTTTTATAACATTTATGATCCGAGAGTTTGGGATAACCTTGATGCAAAAATGAGAGATTTACTTGTAGAAAAGGGTCCCGTAAGAGAAATTAACCTCAAATTCCCTGTTGATGAATACATAAGACATTTTTCTTCAAATTATTATCTTTGAACATTATCAAATGGGGAAACTCATGATCGAAAATGGCTAGTGTACTCAAAGGAATTGGATAAGGTGTTTTGCTTCTGTTGTAAGTTGTTTAAAACAATGTATTCTAGAAGTCAGTTAGCAAGTGAAGAAATTTGAGATTGGAAACATCTTGGTGAGAAGCTTAAACAACATGAAAGGAGTGTTGAACACCTCAGTAGCTTGAGGTCTTGTGTTGAATTGCAAATCAGATTGAAAACAAATCAAACAATTGATAAAGAATTATAAGAGCTTATCAAGAAAGATACACTACACTAGAAAAATGTTATACTCAGAATCATTGCCGTTGTGACATGTCTTGCTATACATAATTTAGCATTTCGTGGAACAAATGAAAAAATTTATGAAGATAGTGATGGTAAGTTTTTAGGCATACTTGAAATGATTGCAGAGTTTGATCCAGAAATGCAACACTATTTTCATCTAATTCAAGATAAGGAGATTCATTATCATTATCTTAGCTATCAACTACAATCTACATCCTCCATAAGATATTCATTGTAATGATATGTTTCTATTTGTATTTTAAACTCAATCCAAATCATGCTTTCCTCAACATAAGTATATAAGCCCTATATTTTAAACTCAACAGAACATAAGAAAACATGCAATATCTTGTTAGAAATAAGCCCTAAAAGCCAATCATTAGATGAAACCTTTTATGGATATTTCGTTTAGCAAATCATTTAGGTTAATATATAAGGGCAAGTACGTAAATTCAAGTAGCAGTCTAAACCGTAATTGTTCACTTATTGATGAGTCCATGGTCTTTGAGCTAAGGAAAGTGATCTAAAGAGGTTAGATGTGGAGAGACCTTTTCCTGTAACTCACACCTAAATGTTCCCAGAAAGTATGTGTTTTGTTTTGCGACTGCTCCTAAATTGAACCTTAGGTTGGCTACGTATCCCTTACGGGAATTAAGGCACTCGTGGTTCTGAAAATCGCAATGAATACATGACTCATTGCGAAGGGAATTTGAATTGGATTTGATTGAAAAAAGTTTGAGTGAATTTAGCATAATAAACCTAGGATTCTATTTGGAATTGTGTTTGGGGCGAATTTGGTTAAGAAGCCATAGTTTATGTTTTGGTTGAATTTGGTGGCGGTTGCATCTAGATTGAGGGTACACTGCATACATACCCTATAAAAGGATCAAACCAACATAGTTCATAACTTTGGGAATTAATGGGTAAGTATAGCTCATTAATTTAGGATTTGTGTCTTTGAGACATTTGATAGGGTTTAGAGCCCTTGAGTTCATTTGAGATTTGACTTGAAACCTCAATGAAGTTGATTTGTGAAGATCATTTTTTTGACTGAATTTGGTTGACAGAAACCATTGATTCAAATGGATTTGCAGTTGCATATAGATTAAGCCAAGATTGCCTACATACCTTATGAAGGGATCAAACCGACACAATTTCAAAATTTAGCAATTAATAAGTGAATGATTCACTAATTGAGAATTTGTGTTTGAGAGATTTGAGAGGGTTTAGAGCCCTCGAATTGATTCTGAAATTTCATTTTTGGAGATTTGAAATGGTTCAACCTAACATAAATTTGCATGAGGTAGATAACCCATGAGAAAAATGATTTTGTACCATTTTTTATTGTCAATGTCAAAGGAAAGATTAATGCGCTTTTTATATGAACTCACTAATTTGGTTTGACCATTGACATTTGCATTTGTGTCCAAACATGATTTGGAGGATTTGAGATTAATGGGCTTTTATGATTGACAAACCTTCTAATCATTATTGATGCTTCTTCGGTATTTTGGGAATGAGCTTGATGCTTGGAGCATAACTGATCATTTGTTTGGATTGGACTCGCCGTCACATCATGGTTGAGTGTCCAGACACTTCTTTCTAAATGGCTTCCTAGCCATAGTGATTGGTCCATATCCTTTTCATTGGGGGTTTTTGCATTTGAGAAAACTCTTGCTACTTAAGTTCACGGGAACATTGGACTATCAAATTTGATCTTGGGCTGGGCATCTAAAGCTGAAATATCGAAACCAAACACTAACCATACCATACCAAACTGGTTTCGTACCATTTCGTTTGGGATTAGGTAATATTCGGTACGATACCGTACCGTATCATGGGAGTATGACATGGTAGCGGTACCAGGTATTTGGTACCGGTCAGTATCGTACCATACCGAATACGTTTAGTTGTATAATTTTTCCCATTCTCTCGACTCAACCTCGATCTCTCAAACATGTTCTCTCACTCTTAGACTCTCTCAGCCCATTCAAAGAACTTCTCTCCTCCATGCCCAATTCTCTATCTCTCTCCCAATCTCACTCAATTCAAGCTCTCTGTCTCTCTCTCAATAGCTGAAGAAGAACTTGATTAGTAAAAGAATAATTTGGCAGAAAAGGCATTATCTCATCTAGTTGTGATAATAATTGAAATACAGGGAGAGGATAGCAGCTGAAGATGGAAACTTGATCAGTAAAAGTAGAATTTGGCCGCAAATCATTATTTTAATCTGATACTGAAAAACAAAAATCAAATTTAGATAAAACCCATGTGAAACAGTTGAACCTGCATGAAAATTTGGTTGAAAATTAACAGAAATCGAAAGAGACAAAAAAAGTTCTTGGGGTGGAAAGGAAAATCAAAATAGAAAACAAGACAAATAATAAAGAAGCAAATCTAAATAGATAACCCAAATGCCCTGAAGATGAGATATAACAATAGCTACCTAAATGACAACAAAAGCTTTGAACTTTGAATTAAACTCATCATAAAAGTTAAGGATTTCAATTCTCCCAGCAAAAGGGAGTAGGGGAATCCTGATTCAAGAAACTCAAAACCCTAAAACAACGGAAATGAACAGATAATCTAAGAAATTGATCTCAGAGAGCAAACAAAGAAGAACCCATAGCAGCAAAAGCATAAAGAGCTTGAGACAGAGAAAAGCTGGAGACTTTGAGTACCTTAGTGAGAGTAGAGTTGAAGAATAGTTGAAGCAGCCGCAAGTCGAAGGAGTTGGAAAGTGAATGGGGTTAGAGAGAGAGAGAGAGAGAGAGAGAGAGAGAGAGAGAGAGAGAGGTTACGTTGTAAAGCTGCAAAATAGTGTCATTTTAGTACCTAAATGGTACCGTTTCACACCGATACCGATTTGGCACGATATGGTACGGTACCAACTTTGGCAAACGATAATCTCATACGGTACCATACCGGTTCTAATTTCCAATATCGGTAGTGGTGCGAGCTCAATACCACACCGTACCATGCCCATCCCTTTTGATCCAATGGCTAACAAGTAGGTCCTCTCTTGAAGACCTTAGATAGTAGCCCTCATTATTAGATGTGTCAAATGGATGGGGCCAGCCTGAAACCCAACATCCTTGCTCGTTTAAAGTTCATTTATTAAATTATATTTATTTTAGAGAAAAATAATACATAATATATATATATTTTTTGTATGAATATACATAATATTATTACATATATATCTTAACTTCAAGTCTATTTCTTTTCGCTAATAATATATATTAAAATTTAATGTTTTATTTTTTAACAATTTTAGTTTTCAAGTTTCAATTTTTAAAATCTAAGCAATAATCTAGTCATTTTCTATTTAAATATACTTTAATAAAGTTATTCGCCTATTTTTTCAACAAATAATATATTTTTTTTGTATACTAGCCTCTCTGCATGTGATTCCGCGCCTGCGAGAGGCCTTTTTTAAAAGAATTTAATTTTTTTTTAAGAATTAAAAAGATAATGGGTAGTTGTGATCCATTATCTTTTTCTTTTAATTTTAATTTTTTTTAAAGTGTGAATTTACCATATTATCCTCATTTAATTAATAATTTCAATTCTAATGTTTGAATTAACCAAAGGCATTTTTTGGTATTTTGAATGTTTCACCATTCTCTGCCTTTTGCTTATATATATAGATACACAATTATAAAAAAGATTAAAATGAAGTTGTAAAAAAAATATTACCAAAATAAAAGCAATACATAAGTTAAATTTGGTGTAGGCACATCTCGGCCCGTTTAATAGTCTGCCACAAGCACGGCATGAGCCTATATGGACTGGGATTGATAATTTTCATAAAGGGACGAGCCCGGTCCAGCCCATTTATTAAATGGTCAAACTCTAAACGGACCAACATGGTCTGTTCGACACCTTTAAGGATGGCAAAGTGGGTTTTACAATTCTTATTATTTGAAGAGGGGCCCAAGCCCAATCCGAAACCCAAATCGAAAAATAGTCATCATCCCCTCTCCTCCTCTGTTTGTTTTAGTCTATTTATTTCTTGAGAGAAAAGCCAGTGTCTCCCTATTTGTAGCTTTCTCAGTCGAGCTCTCAACAACACTCAACCCGAAAGAAGAAAGATGAGCAGCATTGGAACAGGTTACGATCTCTCCGTCACCACATTTTCTCCCGATGGCCGCGTCTTCCAGATCGAGTACGCCGCCAAAGCCGTTGACAACTCCGGGTACCTTTTCCCTCTGAAACCCTACTTTGGTTCCCCGAAAAATGCAATACTTGTCCAAATTTTCAATCCACATGATTTTCGCTATCTGATTTGGGACTTTGGAGGTTTTTTTAATTGTCCATTAATTGTTGCAGGACTGTTATTGGGATCAAATGTAAGGACGGCGTTGTTATGGTAAACTTCTTTTGTCTTTTCTTTCTTTGTAGTTTAATAAATAAATGTTTTTCAAAATTTTAGCTCTCAACCTCTCTGGTAAACATGGGTTAATTTTTATTTATTTATTTTGAATTTCAGGGTGTTGAAAAGCTTATAGCGTCGAAGATGATGTTGCCAGGTTCCAATAGAAGGATTCATTCTGTTCATCGCCACTCCGGCATGGTATTTACTTGGATTCTCTTACAGTTTTACTGTGAAAAGTGGGCTCTACCCGGTCCTACTAACTGAGCTCAGTAATGGTTCATTTTTCTTTAGGATCTTAATTTATCTACCATTGTTAATCAAGGATGCCAAGATTATGTTGTGGGCATGCTTAGATAGATAATATGTTCGATGGTCACTTATAATGTGGGGAAATCCATATTCCTCATTGAAAAATACACTTTAGGCATCAACAATATTACTTAGAAGCGAAGTTTTTTATATAGAAATTACACTATTGCTTGTACTAGGTGAGAAAGGAGTTCACTTTTGCTGTTGGGTTATCTGAAAGTTTTGTTGCTCTGGCCTCTAGCTGCTTTTTGAGAAGAAAATAGGTGTTTCTCTTGCTGCTTAGAAATATAAGATGAAATCTTAAACTTATAGCAGTCCTGGTGCTCAGAGAGTCTGACTACTTTTCACATATCGATAAACTCTTTTTTTTTTCAGCCCTAAACAAGAGCTACTAACATTGTGAATGTCTTTGATGTAGCCTCCATATCTTAAGTCTGTACTCCTATGCTTATCACTAGGGTTCTGAAATAAAAGAAAGCAGCATACAGACTGCTGCTTATTTGAAATGCCGCCTGGAATTTAAAAGTCACTAGATATGGTTGAAATCTGCAAGACTGGGCTAGCCTGATTCTTATATCCCTGGGTGCTTCCTTTATGATTTCTTTCATAGGTTATGGTCAAACTGGTGATATGATATTCTAAACAGCATGTGGATTTGTATAAACCATTGCTCACTGTAGTTTGATACATCATAGAAAGATATTAAGATATTCATAGAATGTATGATATTTTGTGCCAGCTTTAGATTTTTTGTCTGATAATTTTGGCGGTTCAATTATAACCTATCAATCTTAGCAAGAGAGCTGACTTTTAAATTTAATTTTTGATGCATTTTATGATGCTATCCAATTACAGGCAGTTGCTGGATTAGCAGCAGATGGAAGGCAAATTGTTGCCAGGACCAAGTCTGAAGCTAACAACTATGAAAGGTGTGCCTTTCTCTTTGAGTTTTGCCTATAAAAAAAGAAGAAAAAAAAGAAGAGAGTGTTTCTTGTTCTTTGGAACATTTAAACATTCTCTCTCTCTCTCTCTCTCTCTCTCTCTCTCTCTCTCTCTGTGTTAATACATCCTCCCCTCACTTTCCTTTTCCTTTTCTTTATCAATTTTTTGCTCTAGTATAATTTGAATGGACAGGTTTGTTTGGCTGGAATCCTGTATTTAAATATTAACTTGTGATTGGTCTAATCAATGGGTAAATAAAAAATTTGTTTTGGTTGGTATACCCATACTTTGGCTTTTCATTTAGTTATATTAGTAAATAGACAGGCTCAAATCCCTTGTTCAGATTACACTTGCATGTTATGGATGTGTAAACATGCAGTTGTAAATTGTCAACCATTGCCATTGAACATTTTTCATCATAATATCTGAAGTATTTCCCTGTTCTGGAGAATTCTCTCTGTCTCTCTCGCCCTCACCACATGTTGTAATAGTTTAACACTGCTGATACCTTTTGAAAAATCCAAATATGTTGCTGGTCTCCTCACTTTGTGGCTACTATCTATTTCACATTATGCTTGTGTTTTCAGGAGTCGGGACTTGCTTAATGTTTGCTTGATGCCTGTTAATAATAATGAACATGGACAAGTCTTTTTGTTAATATCCTTTTGAATTATCTAGACAATCTGGTTGGTGAACAAGTTTTGAAACTCTCTGTAGTAATTGTATGCATGCATAATTGTGACTATTCTTTTATTCTTTTTCCCTCCCCTGTCTTGGAATGATTACCATTGCTATGTGATGATTGACTCTTCATTGTACATAGATTGACCCTTGAAATTGACCTCTGGAGTCCACCTGAAATTCAAATGGTTTGCGTATCTTTTATCTGTTTATGTTTTTACATGTTTATCTAATTTTTATGATTTTTCTGCAGTGTGTATGGTGAACAGATTCCTGTTAAGGAACTTGCCGAACGTGTTGCTAGTTATGTGCATTTGTGTACACTATATTGGTGGCTCAGGTTTGATGAGAACTCGCAATTCCTTTTTGTCATTTTAAAGGTTCTGTTTACACCCTCTCATTATCTATGAAAGTTGTTATGCAGACCTTTTGGATGTGGGATAATCCTTGGAGGTTATGACAGAGATGGGCCACAACTGTACATGGTTGAACCTTCCGGCATTTCTTATTTGTGAGTTTATTTTGTAGCTTGTTATTTTTTCTGCTGTAAGTATTTATTGTATTTATTTCTTTTTTATTTTATTTAGTATCTTTTTTTTTTTTTTTTTTTTTTTTTTTTTTTTTTTTTTTTTTTTTTTTTGTATTTTTTATTACTCTTGGCATTTCTTCTAGAGTTGTATTTGGTGAGGTGTGTGCAATTGGAAAGGGCAGGCAGGCTGCTAAGACGTAAGTTGAGAGTTTGTTTTCTAAATTTTTGTGACAAGATATTGCAGAATTATCTTGTTGAGAAATTCCTGATTTATTAATGTTTACTTGAGTAGTAGAATTTGCAATATGGCCCATCTTGGTCCCACTGAAAGCTTGTGTACCAAATACTGCCATTAGGGAAATCCACTCAAATGTATCCACAAAAACTTCGTATCAATTTGGTCCATCTTGGTCCCTCTGAAAGCTTGTGTACCAATCAGTCAAACATTAAATCAAAATCAGTCTACCAGGCTGTACACAGCCTATGCTAACAAGGATGCTTGAACATATGTCTTTTACAATTTGATAAGAGCATTAATGTTAAATTTGTTCTTACTTGAAATTCTTTCCTTTTGTTTATTATATTTTATTGTGCTGAGAAATTTGAAAGATGATACTGGTATATCTATATCATGTAATGGCAGTGAGATTGAAAAGTTGAAGCTTTCGGAATTGACTTGTCGGCAAGGTGTTATTGAAGTAGCCAAGATGTAAGTGGCATCCTCTATGAATCCTTTGTTGGCTTGTTGTAATTTGATGATGGTGGCATCTAGGTACAGATTTTTAATATATGTAGTGTTATTTTGTAACAAGGTCCTTAAATAAGGGTTTGTTTCTCAACTATTAGATGAGATGTGGCCGATAAATATGCAAAGAGGTGTACATTGGGTAAGATGCATCTAGCAGGCCCTTATTTAAGGACCTTATTAGTGTATATGTGTGCACGTAGGTATGCATGTATATCTACATCAAACATGTGACCTTTGTTTTTTCGATATAAATAACTCTTTTCTTTTTACTTTTCTAAAAATTCAATGTAACCTTTTCAAGACAAACAGCTTTTTCTTTTGACCATTTTTTTCTTCAAAATTCAGTGTTCCTAACAAGGATGCTTTATATTTGATAATATTGGTTGTGGTTGTCATATCATTATGAACAAGATAGAGGGTCGAAAGCCTTTTTTTTCACTGGGTGCACTGTTTTATCTACAGATAGGTCTAAGCCGTTATTGGCCCATTTCTTTTTCTTTTTATAGTTCTTTGTGGAAAATGAGAGTGGGCATGGGAGATAAATCGAACTGTGCCTTCGTAGAGGAATAATTACTGTATAAACTATAATAGACAAGGGAAAACGAAAGAGTACTAAAGTGTGAACTGGCAGAAATCTAGGCAGTTGCCTTTGTGCATTTTTGTGTTCATGTAAGAAAAAGATAGAGTTGCAGAAATGAGAACTGGGCAAGGGCCGAATTTCCCTTGGTCTCCCTGCACTGTACCATGGAGCTTTTGGATAAGTTTATTTTGCTACCCATATGGCAGATAATGTTGGGTAAGAGATACATCATAAAAAATGTACGGCAGGTAATTGTTGGGTAAGAGGTAAATCATACAAGTCTATTGTAAAAGTTAATAATTCTGTAACCTTTAGGCCTCTTTCTTAGTTGGGTTTAGGGGTTTTGTAGCCCTTGTTTTTGCAATTCTTGATTGTGGGTTTTGTTGTGGCTCTTGTTTTTGTTTTTGGCTTAGCTATGTTCTTCTGGGGTATGCGCTTGTCTCAACTCCTCAAGTAATCCTTTTAATCCCTCATTTTATCTTCCAGAACAAACCTCAAATAATCCTTTTTATCCCTCAGAAATTCCTTTTATTTGCCAGAACAAACCTCAAGTAATCCTTTTATCCCTTAGAAATTTATTTATCTTCCAGAACAAAAATAATTTTTTTTATTAGCCGGATGCGTCTCACTCATTTCACTCACAGTTGCATCTAGTCGTCAATATTTTGAAATGGAACTTTTGATGTTGTGGCCATCTTACCCACTCCATTTTTAATTTTATTGTTTTCTGCAATAAAATTTGTTTCTTATAAAAAAAAGAAGCTGTGGCATGTTGCTTGAGATTGTTATAATTATTAGCTTGTGTGTCTTTGAGTATGTAGTTCTTTTTCTCAGACACTAGATTGTTTCATATGCTTCATGAGTTTGCCGTCAAATATATCATGGCATAATGTGCTTGTTCTAAAGAGTAATCTCAATAATAATATTTTTCATGCTACTTTCGCTCCCCATTCCTGAACAATATTGTACTGGTAGAAGAAATCAAAGCATTTATGTATTTATGCATGTCTCATGATGCTCAATCTGAAATTTCTACTGACTGTAATATTCAATTATGCCAAACAGCATTTATGGAATACATGATGAGGCAAAGGACAAGGACTTTGAATTAGAAATGAGCTGGGTCTGTGATGAATCAAACCGTCAGCATCAGAAGGTATCTAAAGTTTGCTTTTGAGTTCAAGGAACTTGCAAATTTCAAACTAATTTCAGTTCAGATACTGCTTTTATTTTTTCCAATTGCCTCATTTGTTTCTCATACCATCATTTTGTGATTAAAAGTAACATGTCATTAATATGTAAAGTTGATCAGAATTTTTTAAAAAATATCTTTCCTTTCCTTTACTATTTCCTTTTTAATTGGCTGTTAAGCCACATTCCATAGCTTTTCTTATTTTCTTAGGGAGGGACCTAGTGGTGAATGGTACATGACCTAGAACCTATATCTCACTTGGAGATGTAGAATGTACATTTCTATAGTAGGCTTACAAATGTATTCAACAAAAAATTGAGAATATTTCCGGAGCCTGAGCTGAAACTCTTTATTTGTAGCAATGGGTCCTGACCTGTATGATTAATTTTCCATCTTAATTCATTTGTGAAAAACCTTGTCATCGTGTTCTAAGACTGTTAATTTGAATACAATCCTCTTTCAACGGCTGCTATTTGTGATACATTTGCTGACCACCTCTCCCATAGAGGTATGTGGTCAGTAAATGTGGTACAAAATATTCATATCTTTCGGAAGGCTTAGCTGTTTCAGTCGCTTTCCCCCTGAAAACCAAGTAATCTAGACTGGTGTAGGATTTAGAGATTGTGTTCTTTGATGTGCCGTAGTGTTCAGTTGTGCGTGGTTCCTAGCTACAAGTGCCAACTTTAATGATATCTATTATTCATGTTCCACTGTGCTTAATATCTTTTTGAACTTCTGCATTTTAAGCCCCACATTCAAATTGATCATTTAACATGGGAGAGAGATTATGATTCTTTTGAACCAATACTTTTCCATTACCCCTCCGTTTTCCATTATCGCTATTGCATGGTATTATAATGTTTTCATCTTCATCTGTGTTTTGTTTTTGTTACCTTGTAGGGTAGTTCCATGTGAAAGCCTGTCTTGCATATTTATAATTTTATTTTTCAATTTTCAGGTTCCAGATGAGCTTCTAGAGGAAGCAAAGGCAGCAGCTAGAGCAGCATTGGAAGAAATGGATGCAGATTAGAAAGCTAATGATAGTATGTTATTGTTCTGATGGTTCTATTTCAGTGAGTCCTTGTGCCTACTCAAACAAGTATATCTAGAGAAAAAAAAAGGGTTAATGGGATAAGATTGATGGATTTTCATTAGCCAATTTGACTGCTGTAGTAGTCTTGTACCTTATGCTGTTCAATTTACCAACATTGCGGTGCAAACTGTATTTGTAGGCTGTTTGAGAAACAGAGTTTCACTTACATTATGCACGTTGTCCTTTTACTGCTAATGGTAGTTCTGTTATTTCACTTTTGTGAGTTCACTTTTCTTTTGCTGGAGTTTGGCCTGAAAGCAATTTTAGTCAACGTGATTTCAATTTTCTCAATTTCGTCACTGTACTTGCATTCGTTAACAAATCAGGTCACATCTCTCAATTCTGTCAGTTTAATTGCCCGTGCTAAATGCGTGCAGAGGCAAAATTATTTTTCCACCCTTTAAAAAATTAATAAATCCAGAAGTGGATGCAGATGGTGATGCTTTCAAGTGGGTAACTGGGATTTTGGACAGCATTTCTTCCTTTTCTTTTCTAAACTGGATTTTGGTTTTCAAGATTGGAGCTTTGAGTTCGTGGGTCTGTTAATCTTTGCGAAACTTGGAAAGTAGCATGAACTTTTTCGGGCCAAAAAGGGACTTTGGTTTTTACAATGAGACTGTATGAGAGCAAAACTTATTTTGCAAGTGGGTAGACGGAGAAAGAAAGTGAAGACGAGCATATCGAGCCAACTTGGTTGCTGCGTTCATGGCCTATAAAAACAATAAGCTATACTTTTTGTAAAAAATACAAGATAAATAAAAATTATCAGAGATAGTTTTAGAGCCATCCAGCCCGCACCTGAGAAACGAAAACAAAGAAAACCAAGGAACAAAAATGGAAGCAGCGATGGGATTAATGCGGAGAATGCCTCCCAAGCACACCGAGACGGCTTTCTCCACCCTCCTCTCCCTTTTGCCCAAGCACTCCTCTGATATCCTCTCTCAAGTCGAGCTTCATATTTGGATGGTGGATTGGGTGGGTGGATATGGCTGGTGGTGGGTTTGGGTGGTTATGGATGATGGTGGGGTGGTTGGTCGCAAATAAAGGAGAAATGAGAAAGGATTTGGGGATAGGGATGGTGGATGGGGTTGGGAGAAATAACTGGGGTTGTTTTTTTTTCTTTTTCATTTTATTTATTAATTGTTTAAAAAGTGAAAATACAATTTTGCCCTTGCACGCATTTAGCACGTACAATTAAACTGATGGAATTGAGTGATGTGATCTTGTTGATAGGGGAGACCGGTTTTGTTGGACGAGGGTCTTGATTCGAGCCAGGGCCAGAACGTACCTTGGGCTGTTGGGTTGACTCGATCTTTCTAGACAACCTGCACACTTCAAGCAACTAGATCGTCAGACAAGGGGGAGTTGGCGTGATACCGGTCGAACCCCCTCCGATGGCTAAGTTAGTGGCTGGTTTGGAGTAAGGAAAAGGATACAGAGTTTTTGGGTGAGAATAGTTATTACCTTTGTCTCAATGCAGGTGAAGAGTATTTATAAAAGGAGAAGCTGATATCATATCTCCTTAAATCTAGCAAAAAGGGAGATCTTCAGCCATTTCCCATGCTGGGATCAGAGAGTGGTTATGGGCATCAGTCACTATGCTGATTATCAGGGACCAAGTAACAAGACGACACCTGACTTGGATGTGAAATGCATTAAATTCCCTTTCTCAACCACCATGCTGGTATTAGGTGTGTGAAGTGACTTGGTCTTATAAGGATCTGGTGAGGTCAGTGTACTAGTGCTTCTGCCTTTCTGTTCTCATGACGTCACAGTGGACCTAGGGCGGTCAGCCTGGTCTGGTCAGTGCATAAGCACCCCGACCTTGTCCATGTGGCTTCCTCTGATACGCTCGGCTCTAAACCTATTAACAGTAGCTGGGGCGGTCAATATAGTCAGGTTGGTACATTAGCACCCCGACCTTGGCCATGTGGCGTCTTCTGATAGGCTCGGTTATAAGACCTGTTAACAGTAGTCCCCTAACTCTCAACTGAAGGAGCCAATCTTGGGTGGGGAGTTGTTCGAGTTTTATTTTTAGATGAGCCGAGCCTGTTTCATATAAAGCCAACCACAGAAGGGGTCGGGTAAAGTAGCCCCTAAGTTCCCAGCCGAGGAAGACTCGTTTGAAAAACATTTGTGGCACCGGATTTGAATTTTGGGGTGGTTGAGGAGGTGTGACATGGCAGTGATTGATTAGCTGAACAATTAGCATGTTAAATGCACCTGACGTCAGCGACATGCGAAGACAATGCGGATGCTCAGTTGTCAATATATAAAAGGGAGGGAAGCTCCCATTTTGCCATTTTTCGCCATTGTCTCAGTTTTGAAGCTCCAGTCGAGAGAGTTTTCCAAGGGATTTCTGGGTGCATTGTCGTTGCAGAGGGGAATGAGTGGAGTGGCATTTTGCTTTCGTTTTCAGAAGATCAAAGTCAAGTTCTGGTTTGTTATTCTTGATTTAGTTTCAGTTCATCTCATTTCTTTGCTTGGTGTGCATTTTGATCTTTAGATCTCTCCCCTCCCCCTTTTGGTTGTGTTTAAAGTGTTGTGGTCAGTCTAAGCATGTCGAGTTGGTCATATATGTTTGATTCACAAAATACTGCGAGCAACGGATCTACCTTTCAAGATGATGTGGACGATCTAGACATGGTAAATGAGATGTATGACGCAGTCGAGCAAATGGGTGAGGACATGCCATCAGTCTCGATGGAAATTTTGAGTACCGAGGGGCAGGAAGAGAGGTGGGAGGCTAGGATGTAGTGGATGTTGATCAGGTTGAAAGGGGTGGAAGGTTTAAAGCTAGAGATGAAGTTATTATAGCAGAGGCAGGGTTAGGTAGGGCAGAGGAATCGAGCTTTGGTAGGGGCTTAGCTGAGGTAGAGGAAGAGTGGTCAACTGATGAATACCTGAGCACAATGACGTAGCAGAAGTTAGAGTGTTTGAGGGAAGAATATGTCGTTATGAGAAGTATTAGGTTTAGGGCGCTCTTGGGTAATGAGAAGTCGAGCACTCCCCCCCTAGGTGGGTAACCTTATGTGCGGATACGTTTAAGCAAGGGGTTCGGTTGCCTTTATCTCCCTTCAAGGATGTATTAGAAGGCTCGGTGTAGGCCCCGACCAAATGAATCCAAATGTATACAAAACTATGGTGAGTGTCCATGTGTTGTGGCATAGGAAGCATAATTCAGAGCCGACTGTGAACCAAATGCTGCATTGTTTTTTGCTAAAGAAAAGTTCATACTAGGTCGGCTTATGCTACTTTCAAAGTGTCGTGGGAAGATGATTGAAAGGAATCCTTCATTCCAGAAGAAGTGGAAACCGCACTGGTTCTATGCATTGGGTGCGTGGGAATTTGCTGAAGGAGATGAGTCGACACTGCCTAGGATAGCGAGGCGTTTTAGGATACTAGGTGTGATTGACATGTAGTAGTTTCAGATATGCTTTCCCTACTTTATCTACTCAATTCTCTTACGTGTTGAGAATTTTTTTTTATTATTATTATTTTTTTTGCAACAATGTTTTTCATTAATATTAATCTTTCCATTACTTGTGCAGTAGAATTGGAGCAGGCGGAACTCTCAGCAACCAAGTAGAACGAAGTCAACCAGGTGCTTTCCTTGCCTACTACAGAGAGAGCGGCGAACGTACTGCTTGCCAGGGAAAGTTTGATCGACTTGGCATGTGAGTCTTATCGTTCAAATGATGAGTCCTACCGATGCATTTGACCACAATTAACTTTTTCGTGATTTTGCAGTGATGAGGCCCAGTCGGAGTGATGTTGCTATGCAAGCTCAATTGATGAAGCTCGCCAAGAAAGGCCAATCCAATGGATTGGCTAGTGGCTCACAGACAGGTCGGGCGGGCGCCCTTTCTCAGCCACAATGTTGGTTTTAGGTGCGTGAAGTGACTTGGTCTAACAGGGATCTGGTCGGGTAAGTATACTAGTGCTTCTACCTTTCTGTTCTCATGACGTCACAGTAGACCTAGGGCGATCAGCCTGGTTAGGTCGGTGCATAAGCAACCCAACCTTGGCCACGTGGGGTCCTCTAATAAGCTTGGCTCTAAGACCTATTAACAGTACCTGGGGCAGTCAATCTAGTCAGGTCGGTACACTAGCACCCCGACCTTGTCTATGTGGTGTCTCCTAATAGGCTCGACTATTTGACCTATTAACAGACCTGATTTGTTAACTACTGCAAGTATAGTGACAAAATTGGGAAAATTGAAATCACGGTGACTAAAATTGATTTCGAGCCAAACTCGAGTGACCAAAATTGTAATTAACCCTTTTTATTTTGATGTCCTTTTCCCATATAGTGTAGTCTTTGTTGGGGTTAAATTAGGTTTCAAAACATAATCTGTGATATTATGTAGAGAGGGCACTTCAATTGTGAAGTCCCTCATATACGTTTATTTGTGGGGACATCATGTAAGGGTCCAAATATATTGTACTTTTAGTGATTCAAACTGCCAATTTTTTAGGTCTTCTTTACCACCAAAATAAAAAATAATAAAAATAATAAAAAATAAAAAAATCCAAATTGGAAAAAATTTAATTGTTGGAATAATTGGAAGTTATTTATTTGTGTGCCTTTTTTAAAACACTATCTATTTATTTCATCACTACCTAAATGTTCTAACTTTTCATTTTGTTTAATCTTTTTGAAGGATGGTATATGAATGAAGTCTTGCAAGACAAATGGTTTGGATCATTGAAATTACTATAGGGAATGAGTCCTACAAGGTGTCCCTAAAAAAACTTAGGGTAATTTTCACTTTATTATGGTAAAGTTTATCGAATTTTAGAGTTCGATAGATCAAATTTTTTTTCATCTCAGCTGCATTCATAAGTTGATTTTCTTACCACTTTCATACCTACCATCAGTCTTTCCGTTAACAAGTCCTTATTTCACCCCTCTCTCTATTGAAACCCCATGTTCTCCATCCTTCAGTCAGAATGTCTCTCTCCCTATTCGATCTGGCCTTACCCTTTGGATGTAGCTACCAACCCTTAACGTGATTTCTTGCGTACCTCTAAAAAGATGTGTAGACTTTTAGGTTTGGTGCATGCACCACCTCCTTCTTGTTTCTACTTACTCCTCCATTGGTTTGGGGTGGTGTTTTCCCTTGGCTGTTGTGTTCGTTTTGGTGCAACAACGAGTTCGGTTCTGGCAAATTTATGGGTATTGTTTTTGTTCCTATGTTTTTGTGTGGTGGCAGGTTTTCCCTTCAACCTTCGCCACGATAGTGTTGTCCAAGTCCTCATGGCAGGACAACTCTATTGACTTTGAACTAGGGTTTGCAAAAAACCAAGTTTTTGTTGTGGGCTTTGGTTGACCTTATATCTAGACTGGGCTTTATGTCTAATGTGGCCTTTTGATGGCTTTGTTTGAGCTTTTTCCCTTTTTATGGTGCATTTGTTGGGCTCATCTTGCTCGAATGGAGGAACTCGATCATGTATTTCTTTGGACATTCTTACTCAAGTTCAATTCATGTAGGAGACAATATTTAGGCAACCCAATATAATACTCCCCCCTCCCTCTACCTAACAAATGACCAAAAAAAAAGAAAAAAGGTGTACTATGCCTAGATCTCTCTAACCCAAGTATTTTGAGCTTACTTTATGTAACTGCTCTATTGTAATCTTTCCTTAGTAATGATTTTTCCTTTGAAAAAAACCTTTGCTAATAAGAGAAACTTAAAATAACTTCTATGTGTTTATGACTTGTAACTTCCCGACCCAATTTTAATTATTCTTTTAAATTTATTTATTTATTTAATTATGAAATTACAACTTTACCCTCAAGGGTAGGGTCATTTTGGTTACTTTTTAATCTGGTAGGATTTTGGGGAATTGAATGGCAACATGACGTAGATCTCGTAGATACGAGTTCGTAGACGCGTAGTGTGCTCAAATCAAAGTTGTAACGAAAAAGTTACGATCAATAGAAGTGTAATGGCACAACCGTAAATATTTTGAAGTTGGGTTTAAAAAAATATAAATATGATTCTTCTCTCTCTCTTTCTCTCTCTCTCTCTCTCTCTCTCTCTCTCTCTCACACACACACACACACACGAACAAACCCCCCCTCCCTTGCATAGCTGGCCACGTTTTGGCCTGCTGCCACCACCTTTGGCCACCAATTTTTGCGAGACCAGTACCAAAGTGACCAGCTCACTTTAGGAGTGGCAATTTCCTACACGACTCGAAACCCGCACGAAAAAAACACGACTCGAACCCGCACGATTAATAATTGGATAATTTTTGGGTCAACCCGTTTTGACCCGTTTATTAAACGGGTGGGTTTCGGGTCAACCCGCCAACCCGTTAAAATACATGTGTAACCCGTTTATTAAACGGGTCGTGTCAACCCGTGTAAGACACGCCAACCCGCGAAAAAAATATAGGGAAATAGAGACTTCAAAACACACATATGGGGTTTGGAACCCCCTCCATCCTCATTACTCTCTACTACCTTATCCACCATGCTAGATACAACTTTGTGATTATACACTATGTCTTTTGATACTTATAATGTTTGTTTTTCTTTTTTATTTTGTTTCTTTTCCGTCTATCTTCTCCTCTCTCTTTTTTAATTTCTTTTCCTTCTCTCTTTTCTCCTCTCTTTTTTTACTTCTCTTTAGTTTTCTCTCCTCTCTTTTTTTTTCTTTTTTTTCCTTCTCTTTAGTTTTCTCTCATCTCTTTTTTCTTTTTATTTCTTTCCTTCTCCTCTCTCTCTCTATTTTTTTTCCTTCTCTCTTCTCTCCTCTCCTCTCTCTATCCTTTTTTTTCTATCTTTTCCTTATATTTTCTCTCCTCTCTCTGTTTTTTTAATTTAAATTTTTTCAGTTGTGACTTTTGTAACATGCATGTTATTATTTATCAACTCGTTACACGACTCGAAACCCGCACGATAAAAGACGACCCGAACCCGACACAACACGTTTATTAAATGGGTTGGGTTCGGGTTGAGCATTCTTGACACGTTTAATATCCCGACACGACACGAACCCGACACGACCCAACCCATTGCCAGCCCTAGCTCACTTCCCTCTTCCCGCCTCACCCCATCCTCGCCGCTGGAAAAAGAAGAAAAGCTACCAGTTTTGACCCAAAACTTCCGACATTCGTTTTGACAATTTCGGCCACCATTTTTGTCGATATAGGTATGCTTTCTCATCCTTTCAACGAGTTCTAGCTAATGGTTGGGTTGGTTAGGATCGATTTTGAAGTTTTGAAACTCGTTTTTCAAATCAAAGATTTGGCCAGTTTCTGGCTTGAAATTCAGGTAAGTTTCGGCCACTTTTTGGCCATGGTCCAAGAACAAAAGTTGCTCCACTCGTTGTCCTGATCATGTAGGTATAGGTATTGTTGGGTGATTTGATAATTTTCCAGTCGCCGAAATTTTCTCAAGCCACCCACGAGCTGCCGATGCGTGGGCCATGTTTGTGTGGCCCATTTGGTCCTAAAATGTTCCTCATGTTGTCCCAAGCATGATGATATGCTCATATTTAAATTTGGTTATCTTTCGACTGTTGATCGAATATACAAATATTAGGCGTTATCCGGGTTTGATATGTTCGGACCATTGGATCGACTCCATTTCCATATATGTTGATCTAGGTATCTTTAGGATCGTGTAGGAATTCGCAGATCGAGAATCGGAATCGTGGATGCTCTGATTCATGATTCAAAGATTAAGAAAAACGGTGACCGTCCGATTGTGCTATCGTGAGCGTTTCGACCATTTGATATGGACCAAACTTGTAGGACGTGTTTAGTAAGCTTTGTGGAACCTGTAGGAACTTTCAAATAGAAAATCGGAGGTCGTGGGCCCCGCGAGCCTGGTTGACCAAATTTGGGAAGTTTGACCACTAGGTTGATCGAGCGTCTCCCAAGGCATTCCACCATTCGAAAACCCGCAGTTGGACCTTAGGAACTTCTTGTTCGTCATTCATACACTTTGAATCCTGAGAAAATTAAGAATTTATTTTAAAGTTCTCGTCCGGAGTATTTTCATTGATGTAGTCCTCGTGTTCTTAAACAGGTACTCCAGCTCCTCGTACGCAACATGCGGGACTCTATTAGGGTCAAGCAACGTGAGACTATCTGTGAGTGGACTTTGTTTTAAATAATATTCATTATTATCAAGGATGGGAAAATATGCATAATGATTTCTTGGATTATTGAGTTATTATTTATTTACAAATGTTGAATATAATATTGTTATGAAGTAGAAGTATATTCGAATATTTGCGGATTGTGATTATTTTGTATGGATGTATGCTATTTTTGAGAGTGATTATCTATACTTGGAAATGTGATTTGGGTACATGAGATTGTTGGAAAGAGGTTATGGATTGTGAGTGAGTTGTGATTTATGTTAGTTTTGAGTGCTATAAGCACTACCTTATGTACCTCCTCGGATTTGGAATACTGGAATTGGATACTTGGATATGTCGGAACCCGGGCAACAGGGTGTTTCGTAGAACTTTAGTGGGTTTAGTCTACGCTTGTAGGACTTGTCATAGACCTATGAGTATTGAGGATTCTGCTATACGTGCTGGTGAGCCCAGTCCCCTTATTGGACGGCTCATTTCCTAGCCTCTTCCATGTGGTCTAATCAAACAATCCCCCAGTTGGATTGTTTCCCCGGTACAAGTTTGGTAGTGGTCATACTTATATAGATTGATATATATTATATATCTACCTATATTTTCATTCTTGTTTATTAGTGAGGATACTTCCTCGCTTGTCGTACCAACATGCACGCGTTTCGAGAGAGTAGTATGAGGAAAATGAGAAAGGTTTTGAGTGGGATGAATATTAGTATATCTTTATGAGATATGGATTTTGCCTTGGTTTTGACTTAGCTATATATAAATCTATGTTGGTTTTGAATGCATGTTTTCTGTATCGTTTTCCAAACGGTGGAATTATTATATGTTGTTTTCAAATATAATGAAATTATGTTTTTGTCCACTCACACGTTTTTGTTTTGCGCCCCCCTCCCAAGGCAGTAAATAGTCTTGAACCGAGCGAGCATACCAAGTTGTGAACTTCCAAGCCCAAGCTTGTGTAGGGCAAACTTCTAGTTATTTCTATTCCGTCGAACTTCATTTTCGTTTGTAATTGAATTTCGTAGATATGCTCTATTATCGCCCATGTTAGGGTTGATTGTAAGGCCGGAGGCCTATTATGTAAATTGCACGTTATTATCTTGTGCATGCTGTTGGTTGAGTTATAATTGTGTTTAAACAAGTTAAATTTATTTGAGAAAGTTCATTTTTCAGGAGAGACTCTGCTGAAATTTTGGTAGAAAGTCTTGTTCCTTTTAGTAAGTGAGTCCGACATCAGTTTGATGTTGTAAATATTACAAAATTCGTTGCAGATTCCAAGGAATTCGGAGTGGGTCCTGTCATGACTCATGAACTAGGGAGTATGATTGGAGTTCGAATTTTACAGAGAGCTCATAATATAACTTCTATGTGTTTTTAGTCAAATTTTAACTAAAAAATAGGGAATATAATTGTAGATGCTCTTAGTAATGATTTTTTCTTCTAAAAAATCGTCCGCTAATAAGAAAAACTTAACACTAAAAAAATAAAATAAAATGTAGAACAAAAAAAAAGAAAAAAAAGAACACGCGTATGTAATTTATGAACAAGAATATTGTAATGCACGACGAGAAAGAAAAAATATAAATAAAACGAGTAACCACCACCAAAAAAAAAAAAAAAAAAAAAAAAAAAAAAAAAAAGTTGACAGGTGTCACGTTGGTTAGACTGTTGGTGGTACTGGCAGTGGCAGAGCAATATTGATGCGAAAAAAGAGAGCAAAAGAAATACTGATTGATTTTGTTTGTCTTTTTGTTGCCAAAGTTGATTAATTTTGTTATCGATACAATTGAATAGTTGATGTATAATCAACAAATAATAATTACGAAAATAAATAATTGTTTGAAAGAAGAAAAACAAAAAATGTTGGTTGGGCGCGGAAAAGCCGCGAGAAATTGGAACATCCGCCCGGATGTCATCGTTGGCAGCGTGTTAGAGAGAGAGAGGGAGAGAGAGTCAGAGAGAGAAAGACACAGACAGACAGAGAGAGAATCTTGTTTGTCTCTGTTGCCTTGGTATAATCCGTCTCAAGAAAAAGTGGTGGGCAGAGAGGCAGCTGGTTTTGATCCCAAACCCAAAAACCTCTCTCTCTCTCTCTCTCTCTTCAGTGTTCAATTGCTCATTTACAGGTACATCATGTAAAACTTACAAACCCCATTTATTTGCTTTGAATTGGTTTTCTTAAGGTGTTGTGGGTTTTGTAGTGGAGGAAGTGGAATTGTGATGAACATAGGGTTTGGGAGTTGAGAATAGAAGAGTTTGGGCATCTGGGTTCATATTATCCATTGATGGTATGGCACAGAATAAACCCAAGAGGCTATACCAAGTCTGGAAAGGAAGCAATGTGAGTTCTCTCTCTCTCTCTCTCTCTCTCTCTCTCTCAATTGGGTTTACTGTTCTTGACTTGCGACTGTTTTTTAATCAGCCTGAATTGTATTGGTTTCTCTGCGTGTATTGCTTTTGTTACTGAGAGAAGAGGATGATATTATGAATTTGACTAATCTCTTTGTATATCATCTTCTTTCCTCTCTCTTGTATGTGTTTTTGTCTTTAAATTTATGGTGAGGCAGTTGTTTTTAAGATGCACTCTAGCTAGACTGGCTTTACTTAATTACCCCCTCCCCTCTTGCGGCACAAGAAGGCCTTACTTATTTCCTGATTATATTTATGACTAGAAACAAAAGATATATCTTTCTGGGTCGCAGTTCAGGTTAAATACTTGATTTCAAATTCTTGCCAGTAAGGTCATATATTTGTTTCTTTCATTCATCTGTTCCTAAGTTTATGTTTCCCCTTTCTCTGTAATTGTATTGGCTATATCTTTCATTAATGAAAGCTTTATGAACTATTCTTTTGGCTGAAGATAGGCCAGGAGTTGACATACATGTATACTTATTGAATATTGTTAAATGTCCAAATCCAGTTTGAATATTGTTAAAACCCAAATCCTGTTTGGTGTACTTTTACTGATGGGGCTTTTGATTGATATTTTCAGCACTTTTTCTGTGGCGGGAGATTAATTTTTGGTCCTGATGTGGCATCTCTTCTTCTGTCCACACTCCTTGTTGCCGGCCCAGCAGTTGCCTTTTGTATAAAGGTTTATTTTAAAATCAAAAAGGGGAATGTTAAAGATTACAGTCTTTGGTATCCTGTATTAATTGTTGGCACAGTCCTTACTGTTTTGGTAAGTCTTCTTTTTTATTTTTTCTATTTCTTTTTCTTTCTATACACAGTTGTTTGTAGTCAGAGGCCTATTCTGTATGTGGCTATTTGCATAACCTCTATTTCACCATTTCTTATGAGATAGCTAAGAGTTAACAGTTAAGATCTCAGTAGTCTACCAACTTAGTTTTGGTTAAGTTATTATTGAAACTCAAAACTTGAATCCTTGCCTTGGAATTAATAGCAGCATCCATAGGATAACTCCCATATTAAAAGTAGAGGAAAACATCTATTAGGCCATGAGGATCATTAAAACAAATAAATACTGTATGGCTATTTACATAAGCCTCTATTTCACCAGAAATGCCACTACTTGTGGCTGTCCTGGAAAACATCGGTCTTGGGAAGGAAATATGAATGTGGATTTTGCTTTAAGTGGCAATCAAAAAAATTACACCTGCCCACTGATGATGCCTTAGTACTTTTACAATTGTTCTTTCTGTCTTCAGATTTAATGCTACGTAATAAGCCATTCTGAGTCAATATAAACTTCTCTACTATAATTGAAAGGTACGTCACACATAATGGGGCAGCCATTCCCCGCGGATTAGATCCAATACCTTTTCGAAGGAAGATAGTGCTAAAGCTGTTACGATGGACATGGTTATAAGCTCAAAGCTTTTGAATGTGAGGCAACTTTCAGATGGATAATGATGCATTACATCAGCAAGATTTGGCCTTTGATAATGTACTAGTGTTTAAATGACAAACTGAAGGAGTATAAGTGATGTAGGATACGGGTGAATGGAGTATTTAGGTAGTTTAGCGGAAGCAAAAACAATGGAAAACTGAAAATAGAACAAAAGGGATAGGTCTGGAATTACTCCAGTGGTTTGGCTTCACACCAAGTGGTCTCCAATCTCTGGAAAATAAACTTTTCTTTATATCTCAACAACTCAACTCCATAATGAATTACATAGACGGGGTATTTATAATAATCTAACCCTAGAGTGAAAAGGAAAATTAAACTTATTCTAGGAAAGAAATCCTAATCCAAATAAAATAGGAAACTTAAAAATCCTACTGAAATCTGGAAAAACTAAAAATCCTAATGAAATCTGGAAAACTTAGAGAACCTAGGAACTAATAAATAAATTAGGAAACTAATTAATAATTCCCTCTTCCATCTCTTTCGTTTGTAAACCCTAATGGGTTTGACAAAGATGTCCTCATCAATAAGGGTGTCTATACCTCAAATGTTAAGAGATCTCCGTTTCTCCAATCAGTCTTTGGAATGAGTCTATTCTTTCTGCAATATGGATTCTTTTTTATTTCATGTACCAGATCACGTATTTCGTTGTACATATCACAGGGATGTTAGCTTGTCAAAATGTTCTGTATGTGACTTCTGTTTCCCTTTTCTTGTGGTTGTGGATCTAAGCCATCAGACACTTGGATTGCATCCCAATGGCAGCCTTATCACTCTCGAAGACTAAGATGATGACTATATGATTTCAATTACTTGATAAATTAAATATGATTGAACATTCTGTTCTTACAATTGTTGATTGCTCTGGTATTTAAATAGAAATCTGACATTTAGCTCATTTCTGTGCAGGATTTAACATTTCTGTTCTTGACTTCTAGTAGGGATCCTGGAATAGTCCCTAGAAATTCAAGGCCTCCAGAATCAGATGAAGCATTTGATCTAGCTACCCCATCAATGGAGTGGGTTAATGAAAGAACTCCTCATTTGAAACTACCACGAACCAAAGATGTCATTGTAAATGGTCACACAGTAAAAGTGAAGTACTGTGATACTTGTTTGCTTTATCGCCCTCCTCGTGTATCTCACTGTTCTATCTGCAACAATTGCGTTCAGAGATTCGATCATCATTGTCCATGGGTTGGCCAATGCATTGGAATGGTAAGTTATTAGTGTAAAAGAGTATCTTCTATGTTTATGCCACCTGTGATGAGAAATTGGAATAGGGTACAACTAAGTGAACTGATAACTTTACGTGGGTTTCCTTCCTGGACATCGTTAGCTCTTTTGAACATGGTGGCTGACTGTAGTGATATTTATCAAAGACCAGGAATTGTCGGTCAAGAATTGCAGTAGGAACAAACTAAAAATTTGTATAACTGCTGGAATGTTATACCTGTGTAGTTGGAGCTGTCTAAGTATATCTTCAGTCTTATTATTAGCACTTAATCCAATATATCTTGGGATCCTTGCAAAGGTTTACTTTGACAGCACAAAATCGTTTGAAACTTTGACACAGATTTATTTGTTAGATACTAAAATTCTCGAAGTTACTTTTTCGGTAGCGTGTTTAAACTTTTTCACACTAGTTTGAAAGGAGAGTCTACATTGATAGTCCTGATTTATTTCCATGTAATCTCACCAGCTATACAGTACTACCCCATTTCTCTTGACACCCTTTTGGGCTCTGTAACTAAGTCATCTAAAGTTTAGCTGGAAACTGCTCACACGTGAACCGCAAGTAGTTTTGTTGTCAGACAACTATAATTGAATCAACTTGTTTTGAATATCAAGTATATGGTTGCAATTTATTTGGTGTCCAAATCTTTGCATAATTGTTCATTGTACGGTCTACTCATAAACTAACTGTCCTCTTATATGCTTGGTTGCAGCGTAACTATAGGTTCTTCTTCATGTTCATATCAACCTCAACCATCCTGTGCATATATGTTTTTGTCTTCTCTTGGATAAATGTAGTTAAAGAAGGCGGTATTCCAAAAGCTGTGTCGAAAGATATCCTCTCAGATTTCCTTTTAGTGTACTGCTTCATCGCTATCTGGTTTGTTGGTGGCCTTACAATCTTCCATTCCTACTTGATATGCACAAACCAGGTGACCTTGCTCAATGATATACTGAAACTAAATATGCAAATAATATAATCTGATTGGTTTTCTCTCCCTCTAAGAATCTTATCTATGGAGATCTTAGCTGATGACATTTGGGCCAAATGGCTTCGCCTCCCAAAAAAACGAATGGGTGAAGCTGCAGTGTTGTAGTTAATCTAGTACGATATGCATTTAGCTTAATTTTCTAGCCTGTATCTATTGTACTAGCACATTGACATATTCTTGCATTTGGTTTAAATGATAAAATAATAAATAGTTTTTTAAATCAAGAAGGGAGGGGATTCGAACTTGGGGCCTCCTCCATGGGAAGAGGAATACAACTAGACCAAGAGCTAGTTAGTAAATCATTCTCTTGTTTAGAATATAAAAGTATATAATGCATAAACCTAATTAAAACATACATCAAGGAAATATAATCGTTATTAGTTATGCATGGTTAAGAATATTGAGAGATTGTGATTTTATTACTAAGAAGAATATTTTATATATATCTTTGAGAATTACTTGATTTGATCAAGTGATAATAATTTTCTTTCAGATAACGTATTGATTAAGGAAATGGAGAAAGTTCGCTTATAGTATTGATTAAAGTATTAAAGATTTGGTTAAATGCTTTCCTGATGGGCTATTAAAGATATGCTTTCTCTTCAGAACAAGAATCATATGTCCCAATCAGAAGTGGGCTTTATTTATGGAGATTATAACAATAGAAGAAACAAATAACAGGAACATGAAAGAGGGAGCTAGAGTGTGACAAAAAGGAAGAGATACTTAATCCTTAAAATAATATTATTGTAATAAATAAATGACAGTTAAAATAAGTAGGGCATTATAGTCTTGAATATAACACCTACTACACACACAGAGACGATATGTACATTCTCATCTAATATTATTTCTCTGATTCTTGTTCTGTTACAGACAACATATGAAAACTTCCGGTACCGATATGATAAGAAGGAGAACCCATATAACAAAGGAGTGATGTGGAACATCAAAGAAGTTTTTTTCTCTAAGATCCCTCCTTCAATGAATAGATTCCGATCATTCATTGAAATGGATGAACAGATGATCGCAGGATCTGTGACTCCAAATCTTGATGAAGGTATTATGGGCTCAAAGGAGAAAATTGATATTGAAATGGGAACTGGCATTGCAGAGGACAATGGTTTTCCAATTCCCAACCTTTTGCTGAATTTTGACTATGATGATTTGGAGGATGATTTGAAGAATGCAGGGGAACAACGAGGACCTGCTTTTGACACTTTCTTTCCCATTCAGACAGAAGCAAAAGAATCTGTGAAATACTCAATAGATGGAGATAAAATTACAGAATCTGTGCAAAGTGTTACTACAAGGGATGCAGTGAGAGATTCTGTGGGTAGCTCACATCCGAGAGATGAATTGAGAGCATCTGTACAGAGCACCATTTCCTTGGATGGAGCAAATGAGGAAGCTGATTGTGGAAATAACCATCCTAAAACCACATCACCTGTTTTCCAAGCATAAAGGTTTCTCAATTTTTATTTTATTTTCATTTATTTTGGAGCTTTTTTTTTTTTTTTTTTTTTTTTTTTTTTTTTTTTTTGTTCTATTTTTAAAAATATATGTACTTTCTTATACCTCAAACTTTAAGTTCCTTATATTAGTATAGTCACTTAAGTGGGTTATGGTCAGCGTCAAAAATGGTTATTTTGAAGTTTTTGACTTGCATCTTCAGTTAACTGGTTCTTCTATAACATAACAAAAAAATATGCAGCGAAAATAGAGATTTTTTGAGCTTTCTAATCATATGCTCCATATTTTCTGAACATAAAGAACAAGCAAAAAGAAAGAGAGAAAACATGATTATCTAATGGAAGAGTAATGCAATGCGGACAAATACTAAACTATATCTTTATTAGTTTGCTTGTTTGGTTTAATCAACTGGCATAGGAAACAACATGTCTTAACTGTTTTACACTCATCACCCTTGATAATTTAAAATTTGTTCTTGTTGATGCTAGTTTTAAGTGCAGTGTGATATGAAATACTCTTCTAAATGCCACAGAAAACATTTTGGAAAAGAAATCCTATGATATTCCTCAACATCCCTCAGCTTTGTGTACATGTCATGTTTAGTATAATTTTTGGTGTTACTTGTCCCGTTTCTGAATTATCATTCTTATTCTGTATTCTACTTGACCTTCGTCCCTGAATGACAGGTTTGGCTACAACTGATCTCTTCTAGGGCTTTTGCATCTCATGAAGCATCTTTCTTTTCGGTTTCCAAAGGATCTTTTGTTTCAGTAGTTATGGTAGTCAGAAACTAGGTAAGCAGTTACGTTTTTCTTAATACAGTTACGGTAGTTGGTCACTTTGATGCTGGAAAGCAAAGGAGAGTTCATACAGTTACATCGTCCCTTGATAAAATTCTGACTCATGATTGTTGTAAAATGTCTTCCTGTTTACAATAATGCAGAAATCTGCAAGGAATGGTGTTCAATAGTGGTTTAATGTTCAGTAGTGTTTATTTTATTTTGCCTTTTTGATGACTTACAGACTGCTGGTTTTTCCATAGTTTTAAGAAAATCTGGATTGACTTGCTCCAAGTTTCATTGGATAATATTCTTTCTGGTTTGCTATATGATATTTAATAATGTATATATAACCTATGCTACATCCGCCCATGGGTCCATAGCTTAGTGGTAAGAGCATTTGCATGCAGATTCGGGATCTCAGGTTTGAACCCTAATGGTCATCTCGCCTCCCCCTTCCAAACTTTGACAAAAGAAAAAAATTTAAATAAAAGAAACATCTGCTACGACCATGTGTTTCGACTTATCTCATATGCACTTAGGCTTTTTGTTTTTCTGTTTTGTTTTTGGATGGGGTGCTGAGACTTGCTAAGTTAAAATGTAAACTTTTCATTTGGGGTTTGATTTGTTTAACAATACTGCTATGAGAGCTGCATGGAAGCAAAGATTAGATTAATTTCATTTTCAAGACAATTATTTAGAACTTACCAGATGGTTGACACAATGTGTGTGAAAACATGATGGATGTTATGAAGATAAATTACTGGGAAATAATATTAGATGAGAGATATTAATTGAAATTACAATTTTATCCCTTAGTTTAAGATATATGATCTCAATCGTTTGAAGTATTAGGGCTGAAATTGGCATTTGCTCTATAATGATTGACAAAGCGTCTCCTGTTAATGATAGGAAATACATAGTAATCTCATTCCCATATTTGCTTTATGTACTAATAATATGAATCAAATTTGTTCAATTCTCCACTGAACAATGAGAAATACACAAAGGAACCAAAAAAAAATATACAAAAAATGTATTTGTAACTTATGTATCACATTCCCAATAAGTTTTTTTATTTTTTATTTTTATATACTAAAATGCATTTATAAATACAAAAAGTCATTAATCATTTATAATTAAAAAAAAAAAGCACTAAAATGCCTGGCTAGATTTAAGGGGTATGTATCACATTCCCAAGAATCTTTTTACTGAACATGGGAATGAAATCTCATACTTATTACGTCTAAGCCATGAATTAAACGGGTCGGAGTATTTTTGTATGGACAAAAATATTTTCATAAAAAATAAATCACCGTGGATTAATGGAAGTTATGTTTTTGGGTTTAGGGTTAGAAATTTGAAGCATATGACCAAGAATATTGCCAAAGGGAAACCATTTTTACATTAAAAAAATAAACGTTATGAAGCAAAGGGTATGTTAACAAGTGTTGATAACTTGACAACATCTTTTCGGTTTTGTAGGCATACTAATTATGCGCTAACATCATATGGGATAAGAGGGAAGTCTTACAAAAAAATCAGTACACCAGTTGGGTTTCAAACTCAGCAAAATCAACAGATCCGGACTCAATGGGTGGCATAAGGTATGCAGCCAGAAGCTCAGAGGCCAATGCAGCAACCATAGGTATCCTCTTTAAGTTCTTCACCAAGGGAATGTCGTCGCTCTCCCCGACAGCAATCAGCTTCTGGTTAATCTCCACCATGCGGTCCAGTTTCCTTTTGAATTCTGGGTTCTCAACATCAAGCACAGCTGGGAAAATTCTGGCTGTAGTGCGATTTGTCTGCGTAAACAGAAAATACACTACTGAACCTTGGCACAAAAGTCGTCATGTCCAACTAGCTAAGTGAGTAAAGGCAGTCTTATAATCTTCCAGAAAGAAGACTAGATGTTAGCATGCTTCTAACAAGAGATTGGATGTTTAACAAACGATAAATATCACCTCTTACCTCCATATTGGTTGCCAAGAGTGTAAATGAAAAAGAGTGCAAACTTTGATATTGCAACTACTCAGGTATACAAGGAAATTCTGATTTTTCTCTTTCTACCTCATCATCTTGGCAACCAAGAAGGGAATTAAGAGGATTTACCTTTCTTGAAAAAAAGTTTGAAAATTATAGCTGTGAGAAAGAAGGATGCTTCTGGCATATTAGAAACATTAATATCTTGAACTACAAAAAAAAAAATTGCTCTCAAGGTTTGGTAATCTTGAACTATGGAACCACAGGCTCACCTCAATGATAACATGCATATCAAATTCTTTTGTGTTGAGCCCAATGCCTTCATAGAAAGCTGTGCGTTGGCAATCATTTAGGTACATTGTCACATATACCTGCACCATAAATTTGTCAAGTATGAAGGAGCAGAAGTTGAAGGATAGCTGAGCAACCTTATGTAACTTGATGCTAAACCATTTCAGTTGTTTGGGTAGGCAACTTCCCATAAAATATTTTGTTCTGAACACATATCGGTTTTGGTTGCAAACAAGAAAGTGTATTCTTACATGTGCAGCTGTGACATTACATGGCTAAAGAAATAATTGTTATCTTGGGAGCAAGAAGTTACCGATAAGCAGAAGAATCGAGACCACAACTTTGCCTTCCAGTCATTAAGGAATTGGGGTTGTGCCTTCATCAGTGCAGAAAAGAAGTCACCATGCCTGTTCTCATCCTGACACCAGTTCTCAAAATACTTGAAAATGGGATAGCACTGGTACTCAGGATTCTCCTTGAGATGCCTGTATATGGTAATGTATCTCCAGTATCCAATCTTCTCAGATAAATAAGTGGCATAGAAGATGAACTTTGGCTTGAAAAATGTGTATTTCCTGGCCTTTGTCAGAAACCCCAAGTCCAATGCCAAATTAAAATCAGACAAGCCCTTGTTCAAAAACCTGCAGCAGTAGTACAAAACTATGGTCATTCATTCTAATAAATATTGATTAAAGAGTAACAAAATCAAAATGCTTGCATACCCAGCATGCCTGGCTTCGTCCCTGGACATGAGAGAGAATATCTCAGCCACCACTGGATTGGTTTTCTGCAACATAAATCCTCTTAAAATTTAAATACCACAAACAAAAAAAGAGTAACCCAACTTGCAAATTAACCAAAAACCCCATCTGACTCTGCAAATTGAGATGATAATTGAATCAGAATTTCACCTTGAGCCTTCTTCCAAGCTCTTTGTAAAGAAGGAAGCCAGAGAACTCAGCAGTGCAAGACCTCTCCAAGAACTCCACAAAAATCTGTCTGAGGGGGCCTTGGAGCTTATCAGCAGCCTCCTTGAACTCCTTGTTCCTCACAAAGTGGGTCTGGTTGTAGTCAGTCTTGAACTCCTGAAGCAGAGCCTCAAACTCAGCCTGGTTGAGGTTCTTGTTGATCTCAGTGTTGAAGAGGGTCTCCATCTCATCAAAGTCAGTGGTGTAGAACCTTGGTGCCAAAAGGGTCTCCTTGATGGCTTTCTTTGGGGACTTTTTGGCTGTGGGCTGTGCAGTTGCAGACATTCTTATTGTGCTGCTCAACTTGTTGTATGAGCAAGCTCTGCTGCTTCCAAATTTTGGGCTCACATTGTTGAAATTGGTGATGGGTTTTACAAGAGCCATCTCTACTGCCATTTTTGGAGTAAACTTGGGTTTTACAAGAGCCATCTCTGCTACCATTTTTGGAGCAAAGTTTGAAGTTTTAGCAGAATGTTGGCAATGGAAGTGAGCTCTCTCTCTCTCTCCGTCCCTGTATACTAGGATTTTAGAGACACCACAAGGGGGTGGACGGATAAGATGCGTGGGAGTTACAATTGGTTCACACCGGATATAATCTCATCCAATGAAATCTATGAGTTTAAACGGACATGTGACACGTGGCATCTGATTTTCACCCATGTCTTGTTTACGTGATTAGTTGTGATAATGCCACATGGGATAGGACTGTCTGTGTGGTTCCGTTTCACTGGAAAACGACTCTCCTTTGGGAGATTTCTTTATTCTCCTTTGTTTGTGTTTGACTTATGGATGGCTCAAATCAACTTTAATGGGGAATGTAAATTTGGGGATGTAAATGTGGTTTTATATTCAATCAGAGATGTAAATTCAACTTTAGGTATTAATTTGTTTTTGTGTTAATTTTTTTAAAATAATTTTGTGTGTGTTAGCTTTTTTTTAAATTATTTTTTAATTTTAACCAAACAAATGGATGTAAAAAAATTTAAATTCCGATAAGATATGATTTCATCAAATATAAATTGTTGACATATATGGGCTTAGCCAAATTGGCTAGAGTTGATGTGCTCGTACTGCACCCGAGTTCGAATTCCCCTCCTCGTAGTTTAGATTAGTTCAAAGTAGATTATCAATTGTATATAAAAATAAAAAATAAAAAAAATTCACTTAATGGCCTAACATCAAAGGCCCACTCAACCTCCAATGGTCTCACCAATGGTGGATTCAAGATTTTCGCAAGAGATGGGCAATTTCAAAAGGCTACCCGGATTATTTAAAGGAGGATTAGAACTACCATAATTATTCAAATAAAGATTTAGATACTTCCTCTTAAAGTACCATTCCATAATTGTATAATTAAAACAAATAAGGATCTTAGCTCTGTTTCTAATTGACTAAAGTCTATACAGCATATCAATTACATAATTAGTATACCAAAATTCATATTGAATCATCAATTAATTTTATGAAAATCAATATCACTTAATCTAATCGAAATGCATATCAAAGTATTAATTCAATAAACAAATCAAAATGCATACCTCAAGCTGTACGTTGTGCAGCCTTTTCGAGTCTGCTACTGATTAAACGAATATATAGAGAGCCAAATCAGCAAAAAAATTATACAAATTTATAAATAAACCCAATTCTAGACATGTATTTATAAAAAAACCCAAGCACTATTTAAACATAGAAACACACCCAAAATCAACCCCAAAGTCAACTTTTTGGGTTTGTTTATAAATGGGTTTTGAGTGTGTATAATGATGGGTTTTGGGTGTGTTTATATGTTTTAGTGCTTGGGTTTTTTTATAATTTCAACCCCCATTTTGGGTGTTTTAGTGAAACTCCCAAAAAATTAATCATAAACTGTACTATAAAAAAGAAAAGAACAGACTAACTGAAGATTTAAAAAAAAACCTAGAAGAAAACAAAACCATAAGAAAAGAATTTTTTATTATTTTTTTAAAAAGAAGCAAAGTGGCTTGAGTTCATCTTGTGGATCTACAACAAACAAAGAGAAATCTTCTAGTTTCAAAAAAAGCAATTCAACTCAAGCAATTCAACTCAAGGATTAAATACTCTCCGCCGCTGAACTTTGAATGCTATTGTATTCGTATACGGATTAATTTGATTGTAGGTTTTGTGGCGTGGCGTGCAGTAAAGACTAGGCTTATTATTAGTATTATTATTATTATTTAAAGGCCTGATCCAAAACGATGTCATTTTAGTCTTTTTTTTTTTTAATGGCACCATCAACACAAATCAAAGGAGCAAACCTAGCCACCACCATGGCTTTTTCCAGCAAGGGGAGGTGCAACTGCACCTCCTTACGCCTCTGTAGATTCGCCACTGGGTCTCACATGTCTGGCTTTGTGTACACCTAGATGAATACTAGCTTTGTGTGTTGTGCAAATGCTCATATTTTATTAACTTCTCTTTCCTCTCCCCTCTCTCCTCTTGCACTACTAAGCAGGGCCCACAAGTTAGGATGCAAAATCAGATGCAATTGTGCTTCTTTTTTAAACTTCCAGGCCAATATGCATACTCTCATCCCCTTTACATCTACCCCTTAAAGCAATTTCTGGTGAACTTGGATCTAAACATAACATGCATCCCAATATTGGACTGAGATAGCAGCTCATGAATTGCCCTGCTCGAAGGGTCGTAGCCCGAACTGACCTAGCTGCAAAGGAGAGGTTTGATTTCCAAGAGCTTATCCTAGCTTGGACTGATCTTTGACCCTAGCTCCAGGCGAAAAGATACGTAGGTTTTTCTTCCTTCTTCTAAATGGAGATCCTCCTCACCGAAAAGTTCCCCTATTAGGCTATAACTGGAAGGCGCCTTAAGGCAACTTACAACAGTAGAAGTCAGAACAATCAGACTCACCTACATCCAGATCTAGTAGCTAGGAATCGCGCAAAAAAAGAAAGAAAAAAAAAAAACCGGTTGAGCTCGAAGAACAAGAAACGGAAGCACGCTTTGGAACAATCGCAAAAGGGGGATTCCCGGGGTATTTCTAAGGACGGACCGCGCTCGGGATTTCTAAGGACGGACCCATTCCTTTTTGGAATGGAAAGAAGAAAGGATGGTCATTGTTGAATTCCACGAAAAAAAAATCATATGAAAGAATCGTCAGATTATGGGTCCTCGGAGTAGATGGTTTTGAACGAAGAATGAATAAAATAGAATTGTCTGGCATAATCATATGATAGTGAAAGTGCAGAACCTCCCACTTGTTGAGGTTACCAGGCTGGCTAACCTAACTATGAATTTATATCAATTCGGGATAGACAGAGGTCTAGGATAGTACGCTGTCGTAGTGAGACCGGGGTACAGTAATGAAGTTAGACAGAAATGAACGACTCAATTCCTTTAGAATAAAAGAGCGAGAAAGAACAACCAATTTTATGAAATAATATCTTATTTACTAGGATCGGTTGCTACTAGTCCGGGTTGCCTCAAAGATATAGCCATTAGGGGAGAAAAAACAACCTAGTTAGTGCACTAACTCAAACCCAATTCTTGCACGAAATGTCCTGCTAACATAGGTGGGCTAAAGCCCTCCTAAGAAACAGAAGAGGAAACTTCTTTCTTTGTGGTCAAAGGGATACCCTATTAAAAAATAAGTTATGGACTTGGATATGACCTTCTAATAAGAGTTCCTTAGGGATACATAATTAGTGGACATATACAAGAATGACCCATTTTCTTACACAAGCATTTATGTGCTAAGATCGGTAGGTATGGAGCTCTTTCCCAACCTCTTTAGTTAGACAATATGTTATATACGATTCAACGGACATTCAACAAGATAACCATGAAACGAGGCAACCCCGTTCACTCCGACAAGAAGGGTTCAAGTCTGAAAGCCAAGCCCGGGCAAGAAGAGTGCACCGGTACTCTTTTTATTGACATTTCCCTCCTTAGCACAAGCGCTAAGCGATAATAATTCCTTCATTCAAGTGTTAATTCAAGTAAGGACAAGTCTTTATCATCCCAATCGGGATATACGAGCCTGCCCCGCTATGGGTCAGCACCTTGGTCTCTCTTTCTGCTTTCTGTTTGTCTACAAGCGGAAGGCGTTAATGAAAAGTTTAAGGTAAAATAGCCATCAAATGCGAATTGATGTTGAGATGGAGTCCTTGCAGAGGTATTTCTATTATCAAATGAGGCAAAACCAAAACATGGGGATCAACCAAAGACTGACTGCGGGAGCAAGGATTGGATTGGAGACTAAATGACTTGATCCCTCTTCTTCCACTGAGTGCTGGGGGGATAGAAAGCAGGTTGTCGGCAAGCGTGACAAGAAGGCTGAGTTCCTTTGTGAAATGGTAGACAGACACTTGTCTACAAAATCAAGTATGACAAATAACGGGTAAATGGAGAGGTTTGACCTCAATGGAAGGATCGAAGGTCTTGCTACACTGCTTCAGGGTTGCTTCGGGTTTAGCCGTAGAGTGAGCGGGGACTTTTCCTTCTTTGTAAGCGTCTGAGACTAATCCAGGCTAGCCCGGGTGACCTCTAAATCATTAATTGGAAGTTGTTCAAGAGGTTCGACATCTATGGGCGCTCAAAACGGACTATGTTGCCAGAAAACAGACTCTCTTTAGAACATAGTTTGGTAAGAGAGTATGGTGCAATGCTATGATAGAAAGTGGGGATAGGACAGATGACCATTAAAGTTGCTCATTATTATTGAATTAGCGATTACAAAACAATAATGTTACAGATACCAACTTATATACCAACTTTTGTTCACAAATTGATGTGGCTGATATCTTGGTTTTTCAAGTCACGTGCCATGTCATCTATTTTAAATGCTAAAATTAAAATAAGGAAAGCAAAGAACAAGAAATCGAAATCCAACCCAAATTAAGAATAATGAATTTGTCAATTCCAACTCTGAGAATTTGACATACACAATACTGTACATACTTGTTTTATTATAGTTCAAAAATAACTTAGGCAATTAATTACATAAAAAAGAATGTTAAGAGAGGCAAAGATGATGACCAAAGCATGACCCTTACATCTTTCTTATTTTCCATAAATTTCTCTAAATCTATGAAGAAAAAAAAACACATTCAATGCTTCAATTGAAGAATAAATGAATTGGGGGCTTTGAATCTACACAAAGATCTAAACCTGAACCTCATTATCTGGATCTCTGATTTAAATTTATTTTTATTGATTGAAAAGAAATATATATATTATTCAATCTGGCATAACATATATACAATGGTAATTGAACCTGAAGTTCAGAATCAAACGTTGTTTTTTCTTTTATCTTTATCATGCTCAATCTGGCATATCATGTTTTTATCTTCTATTTTATGTTTCATATTTAAACATTTTTATTTTTATTTTTAAAACTCGGTGTGTATTATTTATGTAATTTTTTTTTTTTTTTTTTTTTTTTTTTTTTTTTATTTTTTTATTAC